GAAGAAGCGTCTGTGAGCGTAGAGTTCGCTTCCTTACATCCAGGAGCATCTGGTATCATCTTGCCAAGAAATGCACGCACGAAATCAATCAGTGCACGGGGAATGGACGTTCGAGCGTTGGCGAGCCCCCGCTTCTCGACCCCGTCCCCCCGGGGTACTTTTGTTGTTGGTTTGCTTGTTTGGTGCCCCCCCCTGGTCGTGTTTTGAGGGTCTCGGCGGCGCGCACGGCGGGAGGGGAGTGGCTTCCAAGAAGGCGGGGCGCCTCTCAGAGGCCCTCTCTTCTGGCCGATGAGAAGCCTTCGATACCCCTGGGCGCTTCCAAGAGTGCTGCTGTCTTCTGAGAAGAAGCCACCCGCCTTCTCAGAAGGCCCCCCCCCCGCCCCCAATCGCGGCCCTCTCTTGTGCGCTCCGCCATGGGCCCTAGGGCCCGAAGCTTGCTTCCATAACGTATAGACAAGACTGGCCGCCATGATTTTTCCGTATCGCCAGCGGTTACGGGTCGAGTCCAGGAGCTGCTCGCAGGCCCACTTTCATGCCCTCCCTTTGGTTCCCTCTCTTCCGAAGAGCCACTGCGTGCTTCCTGATCAGTTTGCGCTTGAACCATCTGCCCAAGGAGGATGCGGAGGAGGACTGAGGAAGAGAGGGGATGATAGTCGGCCACGTGCAGAGGGGGGTAGGGGAAGGTGGGAAGGCTTCTTGTTAGCACCCTGCTCCTTAGAATGCGCGGGCTGTGTTTCTAGATATGAGGCCAGCGCCTTCTGAGAACCAGCGTCCTCCCAAGAAGCCCTCCCCCCTCCCCCTCCCCCTCTGTGCGCGCCGCCAGGATAGGCAGGGGAGGGGGATCGAAAAGCAACCGGCACAGGAGAGCACAGTGGGGGCCCATGCCAAGAAACACCCCTGCTTGCCTCCAGGGTGCCCTGGGTTTCTTTGGTTTTTCGATGTTCTTGCGATGGGAGGCGTGACGTCCCCTACCGAACATCGATGGACGTCCTGGGGTCTCAGGGCTGGGTTTCTTGGAGGGCCGCGGGGATCGTGGGCCGGCGCAGGCCACCCCCCCAGCTGGCGGCCCCGTCGTTGCCGTCCCAGGACGTTTCCGTTTGTGCTGTTAGTTTTCTTGTCTGTTCTCCAGGGGAGGGGGAGGAGGAGGAGGAGGAGGAGGAGGAGGAGGAGGAGGAGGAGGAGGAGGAGGAGGAGGAGGACCGAGGAGAAGGGAGGGAGGAGGAGGAAAGGAAGAGGAGGAGGAGGGCGACGAGAGTAGAGCAGGATGAGGAGGAGGGCGAGGAGGAGGAGGAGGAGGAGGAGGAGGAGGAAGGCGACGAGAGTTGAGGAGGAGGATGCGGATGAGGCGGCGGACCCAAGAGGTCTTACGTGGGCTTACATGTATGCTATGTATTTCGTGTTATGCCAGAGGAGGAGGACGAGGAGAGCGGACGAGGTGGAGGAGGAGGACGCGAATGAGGAGGCGAAAGACGAGGAGGAGGAGGAGGAGACGACGGAGGAGGATAGCCACTCGTCCCCCATGCAGGTGAAGCTGATGAGCCGGGCCCGCAAGCTCGACAGTGCTTTCAGCGTGGTGGAGGAGATCTCCTCCAAGCATGGGCTCCCTCTCGCTGTCGCAATCCTCCTCCTTGCCCTTTGCACATCCTCGTCCTCTTCCTCGGTCTCCTCGTCCTCTGCCCCTCCTCCTCGCCCTCGGCGGCGTCGCTGTCCTTCTTGTCCTGCTCCTCCTGTTCCGCAGCCCTCCTTCTTCGCCCAACCGTTCCTCCTGGGGCCCGCTCCGCTCCGATCGATCTGGCTCGACGTCGGTTTCGGCGAACCCAATCCTGTCCTCCTCCTCCTCCTCCTCCTCCTCCTCCTCCTTAGTCAGATTCCTACATTTTCAGTCCTCCTCCTCCTCAGTCAGATTCCTATATTTTCAGTCCTCCTCCTCCTCGGTTCTCCTCCTTCTCCTCCTCCTCCTCCTCCTCCGTCAGAGTCTGATCTTTCCCGACGGTCCGATTCTGCCCGATGCCTGCGCGGTCGCTGCTGTGCACCCTGGCGCGGCGCGGCCGACCCGACCCGATTCCGACACCGTGCAGGTGCGGCCGCTCGGACGCTTGCCGACCGATGGGGGGGGGTCAGGGAGGAGGGGACGAGAAGATGGAAGGCGATGGGGGGGGCCTCGCTGGCCGCCTCGGGGCCATCCTGTTGTCCTCTTGGGCCATGTTGAATTCTCGGAAGCCCGACAAGGTACTCCGGATTCCATAATAAAGTCGGGGGGGTCACATTTGGGGGGGGGTCTGATCTGAGCTGTCTTGGAGGGTTCGGGGGGTCTGGGCAAAGGGCCGCCCTTTCATGGATGGTCTGGGAGGGTCTAAAACTTCTCGTCTGGGAGGGTTGAGACCCCCTCCCTTTTATTACGAAATCTGGAGTAAGAATGTGATCATCAGGCCGGCTCGATGCACGTGTCGGGTGTCGGGTCCGCTCGGATGTTTGCCGAGCTGGGTGCGGACCGCTCCAGCCTCTCCTCCTCCTGTCGGGGGTCCGTAGAGGAGAGATGGTGCCTTCACCCTGTGGCGCTCAACGGTCGTTGCCCGCCGCCCCCACACGCCGATTGTCTGCCCTCCACCAAGCACTTCCGCAGCTCGGACGTGTGCATTTTATTTTCGGCGAGGACCATCGAGGAGCATCCTTGATCATTTGGCGAAAAAACCACGCACGAAACCGAAAAAAACAGGGAATGGACGTCCGAGCGATGGGCAGAATGCAGATGGCATGCCGACGCGCCCCCTCGCCAACGCGCAGTAGAGACGCAAGCAACCGTTCGCGCCGACTTCCGGCCGAAAGCACCGTCAGCCATCGAAGAGGGACAGACTGGCTCAACATCCATTGCGCCCCACAGCGACTCTTATCACAATGCAAACGACGTCGACGAACCATCGCCGAATACCTACTACGACGAGCCATCACTCGCTGATCATCCCAACGCTGCACGGGAATGTACACACAATGCTCAGCAGTAGTGCAAGCCCAGATGCTAGTCAAGGCACCGCCGACCGAGCACCCGAAAAGCCCCGCAGCATCGTGGATAACCATGGAGACCGACGGCGCTGGCTGACCGCGCGTTCCGCGGCCTGATCCACGCAGCCGCATGCCCTGCATGAGAGCCCTTCGGGGCGCACCTGGAAGAGGGGCACGTGCTTCGATTGCACTTGGTTGGAATGCACGTTCGCCATCTACTGAGCGCCCGCCCTCGCCATGCATAGCGCAGGGAAGATCCCCCCTCGTTGCGGCGCCCTCCCTCCAAGTGTCGCGGCACAGAGACCGTTCTGGAGTGGGGGGCTTGGGTGGGCTGTTTGGGGCAGGGGGGGCCTGTCCCATTTCGTGCTTCTTCCCCCCCCCCCCCCCCCGCAGGTCTTGGTGCACGGACCCTCCTCGCGCCCCCTTGGGGCCCCGTGCCGCCCGCGGATGTGCTCCGGCGCCGTGTCCGCGTCGCGCCGCCAGCAAGCTCTTTACCTTGCCTTGCCCTCCACGCTCTCTGTGGCGATCGGGTGCAGGGTCTGCGAGCATGTGGGAATGGGCGGGTGGGTGGAAATGCATGGCGTTGCCACCGGGCGTAGGACAGGCTGCGTCGCCCGCTGCACCACCGCCGCCGGGCGGATGTCGGGTGGAGTCGGCCAGGGTGTTTCGCTCGTCATTTTGCACCCCACCGCCCCCGGCTTAGCGTCACTCCGTTACTCCGTGCTTCTTTCACTGCTGTTGCTTGCCTCCCTCGACCGCGGTCGCCTTGCCGCCAAGTGTCAAGAAGAAGCCGAGCTCTGGCCAAGGCCACTTGCTGCCAGTTGGGACGTGGAGGGGCTAGATGGGCGGTCGTGCCACGGGGGGAACTCAGCACTTGACCTGGTGGTGCTGGGGAGGGGTTCGTCGCGTGCTCGGTTCTTCCCGAATGTGCCCGAGGCGCTTCTGTTTTGCCGTTTTCAGTTCGGCGCGTTGGAAATAATTGGATTCAAGCGTTTTAGGTCCCGACCGGAGTATCCAAACCACCCAAAACAATGGTTCATCAGCTTGTTGCCTTTTCAGCTCCGCTTATATAGTGTTCTCAGATCGGTTGATTGCGCTGTTTCACCTTGCCTTTTACCACGTCCTCAGTTCTTTCTCCTAGCACCGAGTCCCCCTTACATTTTTGTAATCATTTTGCTCTTCCCTGGTCGTCGCTGCTGGCTGGTCGCGGGGCCACCAGGACCGTTCCGCTCGGGTGTTAGACCAGTGTCAGGGCGTTTTTGGTTGGGTTGTTCAAGCTCTGCGCTCTGCGCGCAGGTCGGAAGGGGCGGAAAGCGGCAGGAACAGGAGAGCGGGAGCGAAGACGGCAGTGAAGACAAGTAGCAGCCTTTCACAAGAAAGCAACAAACGATATACAAATGAAGATCCACAGCGGCGGGCCTGAAGTCGCTAACACGACGCAGTAAACAACTTTACCACAAGTGCTTAGCGTTTTTCTGATATCGCTTCAGCTTTTAAAGAGCCCAGAGTGCACAGCGGTAAAAAACGCCCAAGGCGATTTAAGATGCCCCCTCATTTTTAATGTTCGATCTTGCAGGTTTTATCAACGTGCGTGTCACTGTCATGAGCTACTTTCTGATTGGTTCAGCAAGCTGTCAGCTCTTTGTTCGCTTCTCGCTGGGATGCCGACGCGTGCTCGAGGCCCTGCAATATACAGACCGCAGACTACGAGCATATCATACTGCATTGTCCTTTGTGATGTCCGCCGATCTTAGCCCTGCTTACCTTTACGTGACATTTTCAACTCCGCATGAGCTGGTTTCTGACCATTACGCGCGTTATGGCCCCGAGCACCCCCCCCGCATAACGTGACGCGTCCCCCCGCAGTGCACCTCGGGCACTGCCGCCGTGCGCATAAGGAGCCAAACAGGAATCCGCATAGGCGTCCGCATAGAAATCCGCATAGGGATCCGCTCGCATGGGGATCGCATAGGGAGATCCATCGGGATCCGCAAACGAATCTGCATAGGGATCCGCATCGGGATCCCCATAAGGATCCGCATACGGATCCCTATGCGTATAGAGATCCGCATAGGAATCTGCATAGGGATCCGCGTACGGATCCACATACGGATCCGCATGGCAATCTGCATAGGGACTCGTATACGGATCCGCACAGGGATCTCCGTAGGAAACCGCACAGGGGTCAGCATAGGGATCCCAATAGGGATCCGCACAGGGATCCGCACGGGCATCTCCATAGGGACCCGCATAGGGATTCCAAAAGGGACCCAGATAGGGATCCGCGGTGGTCGTGGGCAAGTTGCGATGTTCTCAAGCACTCGTGGTGTTCGTTAGAGGGAGCAAGAGGAGGAAAAGGACGATGACAAGGAAGGATGAGGGAGGGAATTATCATGGCTCTTATACGCCACGTGGAGGCAGCGACGCCTTCGCAGGCATGTGTGTGCCACTTGTGTAGTCCAACACCCAGACCGCGGAGCACCATCAGGCCGTCCAAAGGCCTCTCGAGGGAGCTCTGGAAGCTCCTGCATGGAGCTTCCGAGGGAGCTTCTGGAGAGCTTCCGGGTAGACGTGGAAAACTTTGAGAAAAGGCCTTCCGGGACCCGTGAAAAGCCAAAGCAAGCCCCGCCGACGAGTTTTCATGGAGGCTGGAACGAGCTACAGGACTACCCTGCGGTGCCGGCTTCAAGTTCTCAAACCCTACAGCTTTCCAAGAACTATCCAGAAATAATTTGTTTTTTGCAATCGTCGGTCTTCGTCGTCGTCGCTGTCGTCGCTCTTCGTCGCTAGTCGTCATCGTCGTCGTCGTTGTCTTCGTTGTCGTCGTCGTCGTCGTTGTCATTGTCGTCGCTCGTCGTCGCTCGTCGTCTCTCGTCGTCGTTGAACGCCGTCGAAGGCCTTCGAGGGCCTCCGTAGGCCTTTGCAGGCCTTCGGAGAACTTCCAGAGGGCCTCTGGAGGCTTCTGGAGGCCTCGGGAGGCCTCTAGAGACCTCCGGAGACCTCGGGAGAACTCTAGATTCGTCGCTCGTCGTCGTCGCCGTCGCCGTCGTCGTCGTCGTCGCTCGTCGTCGTCGTCGTCTTCGTCGTCTTCGTCGTCGTCGTCGGTGTCGTCTTCGTCGTCGCCGTCGTCTTCGTCGTCGTCGTCGTCGTCGTCGTCGCTCGTCGCTCGTCGCTCGTCGCCCGTCGCTCGTCGCTCGTCGCTCGTCGCTCGTCGTCGTCGTGCGCGCGGACGCTGCGGTGGTGTTACGTGATGCCCCCCCCGCCCCCCCCCAAACGCTTGTTGTCGCTGCGAATAAAGAAACTGGCCCCATCCAGCCCTGGCTTTTCATCCAGTTGCCAGATTGGCCAGCCTGTTGAGGCCGTCCTCAACCAACCTTACTCAAGGCCGTTCACATGTGCCCGATCAACCAATCACAGCTGCTCAGGGAGGCATGCGCGAACCGCACGCGTAATTCCTTCGGCCTTTCGCAAGGCCGCCAGTGGTGCCCCCGAAGGGTCGAGCGTACTGCATTCTTGCTCTTTCACCCTTCTTTTCTTCCGAGCTCCCTCCTCACCACGAGGCGGCGAAGGTGTGCCCCCACCAGGGAACCGAAGAGCAGGCCCAGTGCTGTCTCCAGTGGAAACCCATACCAAGAAACACTCTGCTTGCCTCCGGGGTGCCCTGGGTTTAAGTATGTTTTAATTGTTTGATGGTTTTGCTGTGGAGAGCGTGACGCTCCCACGCCAAAAATCAATGGACGTCCTGTGGTCTCAGGGTTGGGTTTCTCGTGGAAGGTTTCTTGTGGTCGAGCTCATACTTTACCATCTTCAGAGGACCACTGTCCTCATCACGCATTGTGTTACGCATTACTGTTCGGGGAGGCGGTTTGGGGTCCTGGGAGAGGTGGAGGAGGACTCGTGTAACTCTGCACTCTACGCCATGACACTTTCCGTCATATGCCAGCTAGGCCAGTCAAGTGAGACCAGCTTTACCTTATATTATCACCAACAGGCTGGCCCGCACAGATTGAACCAGCCGAGTCAGCGGCGCAAGTCTCTAATTCTTACAGCGAGCATATCGCCCGCCCCATTTCCATCGCAATTGGCGTGCATGTTCAAGGCTTCGTGCCGCTGTGAATGTCGGACGTTCCACTTGAACGCATTTCATTGTATGCCCTGTCAGTTCCAGTCGGCCAACCAGTCGTGGCCAGCCTCAGTTTACATGATCAGCTTCGCCTAGCCCGCATGATTATACCTGTTAAGCTTGCCCTACACTTTCAACCAAAGGGGCAGCCATCGTACCGCGCCAGCATCCCATACATTGGAGGGGAGGGGTTACGAGGTCAGTTGGTGGGAAGGGGGAGCATCACACTGTGCCTGCGCTTGCCTCGGTTCTTGTACAGGTGCCTTGTTCACCCACATGGTTCGTGATGCCACTGGGGTGCATCGCCGAACAAACGACAGGCATACTTTTATTACGTCGTCCGCTTGCGCGTGCACTTCGGTCTCTGTTGTAGGGTGCGTCACCCCTGTGTATTACGCTTGTGCGATCATGTTTGGTACTTGTGTCGTCATTTCCCACTGGCTGCTCGCTTAGTGACTTCGCGCTCTCACTGGCGCTTCACTTTTTCCAATTTCTCCTGCCCGCACGTTTTAGTACACTGTCTTGCAGCCTTCATGTGTCGCCTCTCGCGCATACGTCGGAATTTATGGCACAGCCGTGCTTTTACCATAGGAGCGCTGCGACCCGAGCCGCCCGCCTAGCGTCAGGAGGGGGGAGGGGAGGATGGGGGGGAGGAGGAGAATGAGGAGCAGGAGAAGGAGGAAGAGCAGGAGGAGAAGGATGAGGAGGAGACGGAAGGAAGGCAGAAAGGAAGGAAGGAGTGAGGAAGCGAAGGAGGAGGAGGAGGAGGAGGAGGAGGAGGAGGAGGAGGAGGAGGAGGAGGAGGAGGAGGAGGAGGAGGAGGAGGAGGGGGTAGGGGGAGGGGTAGGGGTAGGGGTAGGGGAGGGGGAAGGGGATGTGGAGGAGGAGGAAGAGGAGGAGGAGGAGGAGGAGGAGGAGGAGGAGGAGGAGGAGGAGGCGGAACTAGCAGGAGGAGGAGGAAGAGGAGGAGGAGGAGGAGGAGGAGGAGGGAGGAGGAGGAGGAGGAGGAAGGAGGAGGAGGAACTGGGAGGAGGAGGAGGAGGAGGAGGAGGAGGAGGAGAAGGAGGAGGGCGGAACTAGCAGGAGGAGGAGAAGAGAGGAGGAGGAGCTGGGAGGAGGAGGGGGAGGAAGGAGGAGGAGGAGGAGGAGGAGGAGAGGAGGAGGAGGAGGGGGAGGGGGATGAGGAGCAGGAGGAGGAAGAGGAGTAGTAGGGAGGACTAGCAGGAGGAGATGGAGGTGGAGGAGGAGGATGAGGAGGAGGATGATGATGAGGAGGAGGAGGAGGAGTAAGGGGGAGGAGGAGGAGGAGGAGGAGGAGGAGGAGGAGGAGGAGGAGGAGGAGGAGGAGGAGGAGGATATGGAGGAGGAGGAGGAAGAGTAAAAAGAATACGAAGAATGATACGACTACTATTCGTACAAATAGTAGTAATTATTAGAACAACAAAAGTAGCAGTGCGAATACTAAGACGACTCTTTATATTCCCAATATTAATTCTGCTACTATTACTACGAATAATAAGACTACTCGTACTCATAATACTGCTATCAATAGAACCTACGAATAGCATTACTTAAGAATATTACTGCTACATAATAAGAATACAATTGCAATCATAGTGCCAACAATGCTATTGTAACAGTATTACTGCTAGCCTAATAAGAATAGTTATACGACGAATCGTGATGCTAAAACTAAGGAGACTAGAACTTGTTCATAACAGCACTGATTCTAATATTAAAGATGAAGAGTCACTGCGATGTTACTTATATGGATAGCTATACTAATAGTTGGAGAAGAAGAAGAAGAATGACAAGAAGAGGAGGCGGAGGAGGAGGACGAGGAGCGGCGAGAGGGCAGGTTCCGTCCCAACGTCCACGTGCTCACGAACCTGATTCAGGCGCCGAGACGGGGCGGCCGGCGGTTTGCTGCCGCGGGGGGGGGTCGCCCGCCCGCTCGGCGCCCAGCAGGGCCGGGTCGGGTGGTCGGAGGCGGCTAGGACGTCTTCGCTCAAGGCACGAAAACCTCACGAGAGGAAGAAACACACAGACACAATTAATCCTCGATTCCCCAGAGCATGTGGGAAAATATGGGAAGTGGGCGGGGAGACAGAAACCCAGAAAATATAGGAAAAGATGGGGATTACTTTTATTTGTGTGTATCCATTTGTGTGTCCTGGGGCCCCTTCACAATCATCATACGTCGAAGAGCGTGTTTCCTTATTGCTTGGGGGATAATGGGCATTATAGCCCCCGGCCTCCCCCCCCCTCCCCTCTATAACGCAACGCCCCTCCCCACCCAGTGCGCTCCGGTCACTGCCGCCGTGCGCACGGCGGGGGGGAGGCGTTACATTGAACCCCCCCCTGGCCCCTCCCCCCTATCATGCCCAGTATCGCCGAAAATAAAGAAACGCGCTCCTGTTCGGACGTTTTGGCTCAAAACACGAAGATCAGCATACATCGAAGAAAGAGGAGAAAGCGCCATAAACCAATTTTTTTTTGCGCTCCGCCTGGATCTCTTGGATCTGCGCTGGACCCCCCCGGCGGCGCCTCCAGTGCCGCCCCTGGCGCGCTCCGCGCGCCAGGGAGGGGGCTCTTTCTCTTCTGATGCTGTCGGACCGAGGTGTAAGATCGAGGTCTATTCGGGGCGGGTTCCCTTGTGCTCTTTTGTGCATCCTGGGGAGGGTACCCTGAAATGTCCTGTTTGTTCTGACAGACGGAGGGTCTCGTGTTCTTGAAGAGTGTTCTTCTGGCCTGGGTCCGACTGCAAACGCTCTCTTGGACCGGCGCTGGCCCCTCGTGGCGGCGCCTCCAGCGGGGGTCCTCGGGGCTCGGCGCAGAGCCGGGGAGCTCGCGCCGAGTTCCGAGAGCCAGGACTCACTCGGCTGCTCTTCCCCTTCGGGGGCCTTCGGCATGTTTCCGTGGGCTCTCGGCAGGTCCCCTCGCCTCGGGCTGCGCTCCCGCAGCCGCGCCTCGCCGACGGGCGCCCGCGGGGGGGGTCCCGGAGCGACCCGAGCGGCCGCCGGAGACCCGAGGCCTGGCCCGACAGCCGAGCGATGCCCCGCCAGATCACTCCGGATCCGATCGATCCGGTTCGAGATGGGGCCGGGCCGGCTCGGCCCAGCTCGATTCCGATGTTCCGACGAGCCGATGCGGCATTGTGGGAAAGGAAAACACGCATTGTGGGAAGGCACACACACAAAAAGAACACGCTGTAAGAAAAGACACACACACACAAAACCACACTGTGGGAAAACACACACACAACACACACAGTCTGTGGGAGAAGCACACTGTTGTGTGTGTGTGTTTCCCACTGTGTGTGTGTGTGTTCATTCCCAGATTTTTCCCACAGTGCCTGCAAAGGGCACCCCTTGTGTATCTTGGCGTGGCCGATCCTGGTCGATTTCGAGTGCCGATGCGGCCCGACCCTCAGCCACGCGCAGAGGGGGGTGGAGGGGAGGGGGGAGGGCTTCTTAGAAGCACTCCTGCTTCTTAGAAGGCGCGGGCCTTATCCGAAGATGCAGGGCCGCCGCCTTCTAAGAAGCAGCCTCCTTCTGCCCTCCCCCCCCCCTCCACCCCCTTGTGCGCGCCGCCAAGACCGGACGCGCGTTCCGATTTGATGTGATTTCCCGATCCGATGCTAATTCATAACGTTACATTTCCGTGTTTTTTTATTGTTGTTGTTGCTGTTGCTGTTACTGTTGTTGCCGTTGTTGCTGTTGCTGTTGCTGTTGTTGGTGGTGCTGTTGTTGTTGGTGGTGCTGTTGTTGCTGTTGCTGCTGCTGTTGTTGCTCTTGTTGTTGCTGCTGCTGTTGTTGCTCTTGTTGTTGTTGCTGCTGCTGTTGTTGAACTCTCAGAACAATTCGTGTTGGTCCCCCTTCTGGTGACCATAGTGTTTTTTCAATTCACGTGCTTCCCCCTGTGCTCGCACCTTGCTTTTTTTTTACCAGGGGAAGTCACAAGGGTCAAACTGTGCCCCTGGCACCTTGGTTGCAACAACAACGGCCCCCGCTTGAGACTTCCTCACGATCTCGCCAGGACCCCTGCGCCCGTCCGAGACTTCCTCGCATTTAACTAAGTAATCGCGCTCTCGCTCAGGACTTCCGTACAATTCATCACGCTTCGCGTATCCCCACCATGCCGGCGCCGCCGCGGCCGCCTAGTCGCGCGCGTTAGCCGTCGGTAATTTAAGCCGGTCGCGGTCCGACCTACTTCGCCCGCCGCTGGCGCGTTCGCCTGCGGCCGTAAAAAAAAAATATCCCCACCATGCCCCAGCCGAGACCGTCCCGCTTCCTGGACCTGTCCTTGGAGCCGCCAATCAAAAAAGTATCCCCACCATATCCCTACCAGCCCATTCAGAAGCCCTGCCCATGAGAGCTGACGGGAAAAGGGACGAAGAGACACATCTAGGGAAACAAAGCGAGCAACCAGGGTGAACCGAGAGATCTCTGGGAGCAAGGGGGTGGCCTTGGAAGGCCTCGTCGGGCCATCCCTGGGGGCCTCGTTGGGGCAAAGGGGAAGAGCAGGAGGAATATGAGGAAGAAAAGGAGGAGGAGGCGGAGGAGGAGGAGGAGGAGGACGAGGAGGACGAGTTCGCGGATGAGGACGAGGACGAGGAGGACGAGGACTAGGATGAGGACGACGCGGACGAGGACTCATGGAACCATCTAGAGGTATTCTTGCGGCTGCTGCTGCTGCTGCTGGTGCTCTCTGGGAGTTTTGGGGGCCCTCTTGGAACCCTCTTGGGGTCATCTTGGAGGCCATCGATTACAGGATTGGGGGGGTCCCCAACGCAGCTCCCCCCTCAGGAGCCTGCAGATCGCTTCTTGGTGCTCTCTTGGAGCGCTCTTGGGCGCTCTTGGAGCGGTCTTGGGGCCGATTGGAGCATCGTGGGGGCCATCTTGAGCCAGCTTGGGCTATCTGATCCATCTTGGAGGTCATTGTGGGCTCTCTGAGGCCGCTTGGGGGCCTCTTGGGGCCGCCTTGGGGCCCTCTTGGGACTCTTTTAGGACCCTCTTGGGGCCCAAGAGGGGCTGTCTTGAGGCTATCTTGTGAGCCCTGGAGCGCCTCTTGGGGCCGTCTTGGAGACCATCGACCAAAGGAGGGGAGTCCTAGATTTACCCCCCCTCGGGGGCCATCACCATCGCCTCTTGGGGCCCTCTTGGGGCGCTCTTGGGCGCTCATGGGGCCGTCTTGGGGGCCTCTTGGGCCCCGCTTGGAGTTTTCTTGGGCCATCTTGGGGCCATGCTGAGGCCTCAGGAGCGCATCGGGCGCGACAAGGCGAGAAGGCACACACTATTGATTTTCCTCAGGTTTTGACGGACTTGGGGCTCTTGGAGGGGTCCCGAGGGGTCTCCAGGGGCACCTGGAACCGTCTTGTGGCCCTCTTGGGGCGTCTTGGAGGCATGTCGGAAGCTGTCTTGAACCATGTTGGGCTATCTTGACGATCTTGGAGGCCATCTTGGGCTCTCTGAGGCCCTCTTGGAGCCATCTTGTGCGAACAAACCCTCTGACACATCGCGGGGCGTCCCGTTCAGGTCCAGGGGAAGGGGGAATGGGGAGGGGTAGACACCTACCTGAAGGGGAAGAAAGGATTGTGGACGAGGAAAAAAAAACATCGTTAGACCACCTGTCGCCCAGAGGGCTGGTGGGATTTATTCAGGAACCGCTCCCTCGGCGCTCTGGAGTCGCGCTCAAGGACTCCCCCACAGCTTACTTAGAAATCGAGATCTCGCTGCCCTTCGTGGCCCCGTTGCAGCACTTCGTGGCCCCCTCGCTGCCCTTCGTGGCCCCCTCGCTGCCCTTCGTGGCCCCCTCGCTGCCCTTCGTGGCCCCCTCGCTGCCCTTCGTGGCCCCCTCGCTGCCCTTCGTGGCCCCTTCGCTGCACTTCGTCACCCCCTCGCTGCCCTTCGTGGCCCCGTTCCTCCGTGGCCCCCTCGCTGCACTTCGTGGCCTCTTGGCAGATCGCGTTATCGCTCGAGACCTCCTCGCGATTCGTTCAGGACGCACGCTTCGGCAACCCGCTTTCTCGACCTGGCCGCCTGGGCCCGCGCCCGTTAGGGCCTATCCGCCCGAATTGCCCGTCTGGTTCTGCCGCTTCCTTTCTGCTCCCAGCCTCCCTTCTGCTACTCTCTCTCGTGCTCCATCCTCCTCCTTTCCCTTTGTCCCTTTCTTCCACCCGTCCTCTCTTCCCATGCCTCAGGAGCTGCACGAAGTACACGTTGCAGGTAGGGATAATCTACCCCCAAGGGGGTACGATCGAAGACGTTGAGGGCGGGTATGGAGGGTCTGGGATATACGTGTTGAATGACACGCGAGCGGATAATAGCGATGAGTATTAACTTGATTGCTGTTGTTGTTGCTGCTGCGATTGTCGTTGTTGTTGTTGCTGTGCTGTTCGCGGTTGTTATTGTTATTCTTATTTTTGACGTTGTCGTTGTCGTTGGCGTTGTCGTCGTTGTCGTTGTCGTTGTTGTTGTTGTTGTTGTTGTTGTTGTTGTTGTTGTTGTTGTTGTTGTTGTTGTTGAGGTGTTCGTTGTTGTCGCTGCTGTGGTTTCGTCGCTGTTATTGTTGCGGTTTTCGTTGTTGTCGTTGTTGCTGATGCGTTGTTCGTTGTTGTTGTTGTAGCTGCTGCGGTTGTTATTGTTGTTGTTGTAGCAGTTGTTGTTGTTGTTGCTGTTGTTGTTGATGCTGCTGTTGTTGATCTTGTTGTTGCTGTTGTCGATGATGTTGTTATTGTTGTTGTTGTTGAGGTTTTTGTTGTTGTTGTTGTTGTTGTTGTTGTTGTTGTTGTTGAGGTTTTCGTTGTTGTTGGTGTTGTGGTTGTTGTGGTTGTTGTTATGGCTGTTGTTGTTTTGTTTGGTGGTGCTGTTGTTGTTGATGCGGTTTTCGTTGTTGT